CTTTCTCTGCCCCGGGCCGTGGCTGTACAGAGCGGCTGGGCACTGATTAAAGAGCTGTAACGAGGCGTGCTGGGTGCTGGGGTTGATGCTGGGGGGCGGGGGGTACGGGGGCTCCCCTGGCCCAGCCCCGCTCCCGCCTCCCTCCTCCTCTCCTTGGCAGAACCGGGGCTGTTGCAGTTCGTTCGGGTTATTCTCGCCTTCTTCATTTATTTACAGATTATTTATTTTCCATTTCTTTCTGTTCAAATTCTTTCTTTTAATCGCATTCGGGCTCAGATTATTTCTAATGGGATTATTTCTTTTTATGTGATTTACATTCAGATAATTCATTTGAAATTCATTTGGATTCAGATTATTTCAGATTATTGATATCACCCCTGGTTCTATCCACATTGTTTATAGTCAGATCATTTCTTTTCAATTTATTTATAGTCAGATTATTTCAGATTGTTTATTTTCATCTTATTTCTATTAATTTTATTTCCAAACAGTTTATTTATATTTCTCTTATTACAGTCAGTGATTTCTTTTCAATTTATTTGGATTCAGATTATTCCTTTTCATTTGATTTCTATTAATTTTATTTCCCATCAGACTATTCAGTTCAGATGCTTTCCAATCGGATTATTTCTATTTCTCCTATTTATATTCAGATCATTTATTTTCATTTTATTTACGTTCACATGATTTCTATTAATCTTATTTATATTCCAATTATTTAAATCAGTGTTTATATTCAGATTATTTATGTTCAAATCATGTCTATTTATTTTGTTTATATTCAGATTTTTTCTATTTATTTATTTACAGATTACTTCTATTCAGTTTCTTTTCAATTTATTTCTATTCAGATTATTTCTTTTAATCTTATCTTCAGCTTCTTTCCAATCAGATTATTTCCATTTATCTTATTTAGATAATTCATTTGAAATTTATGTGGATTCAGATTATTTCACATTATTGATATCACCTGTGTTTATATTCAGATTGTTTGTAGTCAGATCATTTCTTTTCAATTTCTTTCTAGTCAGATTATTTCAGTCAGACTATTTAATGCAGATGATTTCCAATCAGATTATTTATATTTGTTATTTATAGTCAGATAATTTATTTTCAGTTTATTTGTATTCAGATTATTTCAGATTATTTTCATTTTATTTCTCTTCAGATTATTTTGAGTCAGATTATTCAGATTGCTTCCAATCAGATTATTTCTATTTATCTTATTTATAGTCAGATCATTTCTTTTCAATTTATTTATATTCAATTTATTTCAGATTGTTTCTTTTCAGATTATTTCTATTCAGATTATTTTGATTGTATTCAGATCATTTCAATTTATTTCTAGTCACATTATTTCAGATTATTTATTTTCATTTTCACGTTATTTCTATCAACCTCATTTCTGCCCCTGTCCTTTCATCCGCACCGTTGATCTTTAGGTTGTTTATATGCAGGGCTCTGGTTTAGCTGCAGGTCCTTTATTTTGCCCTTACTTATGTTCAGGTGAGCGACCTTCAGCGGGTGCCCCCTGCTACCGCCCCACTGCCTTCAGCGTGGAAGAGGGGGGGCAGGGACCAGGAGCCCCCGGGACAAGGGGCCCCCACCTGTCCCCTGCAACGGTGGAGCTGAAGTCACGATGGGGGAGCCCCCACGCCCCATGAATGAGGGGCAGTGATTGTGGCTGGGGGGGGCAACCCCACCCTGAGATGGTGTCACACACCAGATTATTTATTTTCCATTTCTTTCTGTTCAAATTCTTTCTTTTAATCGCATTCGGGCTCAGATTATTTCTAATGGGATTATTTCTTTTTATGTGATTTACATTCAGATAATTCATTTGAAATTCATTTGGATTCAGATTATTTCAGATTATTGATATCACCCCTGGTTCTATCCACATTGTTTATAGTCAGATCATTTCTTTTCAATTTATTTATAGTCAGATTATTTCAGATTGTTTATTTTCATCTTATTTCTATTAATTTTATTTCCAAACAGTTTATTTATATTTCTCTTATTACAGTCAGTGATTTCTTTTCAATTTATTTGGATTCAGATTATTCCTTTTCATTTGATTTCTATTAATTTTATTTCCCATCAGACTATTCAGTTCAGATGCTTTCCAATCGGATTATTTCTATTTCTCCTATTTATATTCAGATCATTTATTTTCATTTTATTTACGTTCACATGATTTCTATTAATCTTATTTATATTCCAATTATTTAAATCAGTGTTTATATTCAGATTATTTATGTTCAAATCATGTCTATTTATTTTGTTTATATTCAGATTTTTTCTATTTATTTATTTACAGATTACTTCTATTCAGTTTCTTTTCAATTTATTTCTATTCAGATTATTTCTTTTAATCTTATCTTCAGCTTCTTTCCAATCAGATTATTTCCATTTATCTTATTTAGATAATTCATTTGAAATTTATGTGGATTCAGATTATTTCACATTATTGATATCACCTGTGTTTATATTCAGATTGTTTGTAGTCAGATCATTTCTTTTCAATTTCTTTCTAGTCAGATTATTTCAGTCAGACTATTTAATGCAGATGATTTCCAATCAGATTATTTATATTTGTTATTTATAGTCAGATAATTTATTTTCAGTTTATTTGTATTCAGATTATTTCAGATTATTTTCATTTTATTTCTCTTCAGATTATTTTGAGTCAGATTATTCAGATTGCTTCCAATCAGATTATTTCTATTTATCTTATTTATAGTCAGATCATTTCTTTTCAATTTATTTATATTCAATTTATTTCAGATTGTTTCTTTTCAGATTATTTCTATTCAGATTATTTTGATTGTATTCAGATCATTTCAATTTATTTCTAGTCACATTATTTCAGATTATTTATTTTCATTTTCACGTTATTTCTATCAACCTCATTTCTGCCCCTGTCCTTTCATCCGCACCGTTGATCTTTAGGTTGTTTATATGCAGGGCTCTGGTTTAGCTGCAGGTCCTTTATTTTGCCCTTACTTATGAGCGGCCTTCAGCGGGTGCCCCCTGCTACCGCCCCACTGCCTTCAGCGTGGAAGAGGGGGGGCAGGGACCAGGAGCCCCCGGGACAAGGGGCCCCCACCTGTCCCCTGCAACGGTGGAGCTGAAGTCACGATGGGGGAGCCCCCCCGCCCCATGAATGAGGGGGCGTGAGGGGCAACCCCACCCTGAGATGGTGTCACACACACCCCAGCCAGTGTCATCCCCTGGCTGGTGTCACCCTAAAATGGTGTCACCCATAAGCTGATATCACCCCTGGGCTGCCATCACCCTGGCCAGTGCCACCCCAGGATGGCATCACCCCTGTGGCCAGTATCACCCCCCAGCTGGCACCATCCCTGGCCACTGTCACCCCCTGGACTGGTGTCACCCCCAGGCTGGTGTCATCCCAGCCACTGTCATCCCCAGGCTGGCACCACCCCTTGGCTGGTGTCACTCCCAGGCTCACGTCACCCCTGGTCCAATGTCCTGCCCCAGGATGGCATCACCCCTGTGGCCAGTGTCACTCTCTGGCTGGCACCATCCCCAGCCAGCATCACCCTCCGGCTGGCATCATCCCAGCCAGTGTCACCCCCAGACTGCTGTCACCCCCTGGCTGGTGTCACCTCAGCCAGTGTCACCCCCAGGCTTGTGTCACCCCTGGTCTGGTGTCCTGCCCCAAGGATGGCCATCGCCCCTGTGGCCAGTGTCGTGTCACCCTCTGGCTGGCACCATTCCTGGCCAGCATCACACCCAGGCTGGCATCACCCCAGCCACTGTCACCCCCCAGGTAGGTATCACCCTAGACAGTGTCACCCTCTGGGCTGGCGTCACCCCCAGATTCATGTCACCCCTGGTCTGATGTCCTGCCCCAGGCTGGCATCATCCCCAGGCCAGTGTCACCCCCAGACTGGTGTCACCCAGTGGGTGCTGGTGGCCATAGCAAGGGCACCTTGCCTGCATCTGTGGGTTTCTCCAGCATTTGGGACAGCGGCACGCAGTGAGGCACCCACCCCGTGCTCCCAGTGCGTCTGGCACTCACTTGGGGACATCCCCCTGCCACCAGCTGTCCCCAGTGAAGCTGGTCCCATGTCCCAGCTGCTGCCAGCATCCCATGGCCCTGGCCACCACCCTGGAGACAGGACCTCGGGCACCTTCACACTCCACAGCATCCCAGGATGAGGAGACCCAGGGTGGCGGGTGACAGGGTGCCAACACAGGGTGACAAACAAGCCAGGTGACACCAGAGTGGAGGGACATCAGTTCTTGAACATGTCGCACAGCAGCTTCTCCATGGGGGTGTTGCCGATAGTTCGGCGGAAGAATAGCAGCTCCACGCGCTCGGAGGAGATGAAGCGCAGCGCTGGGAGGAGCAGCAGCAGCTTCCCAAACCTGGGGACCAGAGTGGTGGCCATGGGTGGGTGTCCCCACCCCTGGTGTCTCCCGTGGGGACATAGGGAGGGCGGTACCTGACGGGCTGCCCAGGGTAGTGAGAGCGGTTGTGCTGGCCCAGCATCACCTGTGACTGGTCCTGCAAGTTCTCCACCTGCTCAGGGTCCTTCAGGCCCCGGGTCTCTGTGGGGACAAGGGGGTGATGGGATGGGGTGGGGACACGGGGGTGGGTGGTAGTGGGTGCTGGTGGG